CAGCATGAAAACGTTTTAATATCTAAAATAGGGTTAAGCTGAATAAAAGACTGATACAGTGATTAAGCTATAATGATTTAAAATCTCATGTTTGCTAGCTATAAAGCCTTTTGGGTAAATTGAAATTACAGGGAATAAATCAAAATCGTCTTAAGAAACTAACTTGAATGATATGCATGAATAAAAGAATGGTCGATAAGGACTCAAAAAGCTTAGTTGACTCAGAAAAAAATCGCATGAATACAGCATAAATGCTAGCATACCACGTTGCGCGCGTCAACATTTTAGATCACAAATACAAGCGAGTCAGAAAATTAGAAAGATGTTCTATCACATTCGGATTAACTTTAGTCATGTAGACATTCAAAAAAAGTAATGCCGGGCCTCAAGCAATTCAAGGTATCTTTAACTTAATAACAATGATTTATTCGTATGTAAGAATCTTGATATCTATAGATAATTTAAAACAAGGTAATGCTACTGTCAACAGATAATAAGACAAACAATTTCCAGTAACAGCCTCTATTTTGATAATAGTTAACTCCATGACCGGACATCTTTTTGCCGATCTATTGTAGCATCTCTTGTAGTCTCTTTAATTGTAAATGACTATACTCCGGAAGACTTATGTCTCCATCTATTTATAATTGTCAGAAACTGCCTTTGTTTAAAAAACGCTCTGGCAATATTTTCTTAGTGGTTTTCTGTTCTGATGACAAATCCCATCTTTGCATGCGCAGGCTCAGCTTTATACAATTTGATTTCTTACATACTATGTAAGTATATCATCCAACTAGCCCTAATCAAGAATAATTATACTCAGCAATAAAAATAATAAGCATAAAGTTAAGCGAAGTGAAGTATCTTCCTAATTGTTGCTCAGCATATTGGTTGGGATAGTTTGGCATAGATGGTATAAACTAAAGTATACGAAGATATTTACTTACTAATTTAAATAATCTGGCAATTATATCATAAAGTAAGATTTATACCTTAAAATATAAGATTGTTATGCTGTTTCCTAAATTGGCTAAGAATGTAGATCAACAGATAAATTAATATTAAAATGAAAAATTTTATCTATAAATATGTGTCGCAAAGTAACTTAAAGCTGAAAGATATTAACTTTACTCCTTGTTTGTATTAAATTAACTCCCAGATAAGCAATCGGCTCGAGAAGTAATCAAGATCTGGAGCGTAAATACATAAATTAATGGCAAGATTAACTATCCATGTTAATCGATATATCCAAAGAATAATGGCATATAGGGAGCTAAAATTTAATGGAAACTGACAATGAAATTTTGTGACTCTACCCCCTTCCTGCACGCAACACAAATTAATACTCATTACTTAGCAACAAATCTATCCCTCTACTCAGCAGTTCACTTGGCCTCCACATTCAATTTATTTGCATATTGACTCAATTAGAGTGTAGTATTTCATACAGCATGGTTTATAAGCCACTTTGCCTCTCCCACATATGACCTTCATGATCTACGCATACTCACTTTCCATGCTCAGACTCAGCACCTATAGTCTGCTGGACAACCTCCTTAAATGTTACTCATCCTAGCCCAGACACCCTAAAAATCGATCCATTATATTTTTACATTTTCTATCTTGGACTTCAAAATTGTTATCCTTTTATACTTACAATCCCTAAGCTTATTTGTGGCGCTCACTTATTCTCTACCTAGCACTGTCGGAATCAATTTTTTACCCTTTTTAATATAGGATTAAATGTATATTAGTACAAAGATTTGGATAATCATATCTTCCATTATTCACATCTTTGTTCTATAGTTTTTATGAGACTTGAAATTGAGAATTATTCCAAGTGACTTTCTCTACAGTGCTCCGTTAGAACGGATGAATTTGACATTCAGAAAACGTAGCCCTCAACCTCTCCCAAATTAATTATGAGTTGGAGTCTTTTATCAAACTTTTATTTAAACTAAGGTATAATTCTGAATTTTCTTTTTCATTCAGCCAAAGTGCATATGGTTATTTAAGTACCACATTAGCAATCTTGATTGCATGAGAAAAACCTCGAATTCTTTTTCTAATTTGTTAAAGTATAAACTTGTAAAAAGTTAAAATTAGAGACAAGATAAGAAAAATGACGTGAAGCTTGATCCCACAAGAATACAATGTTTGATTTCTCTTGAACATCTGTCGCTTGCCTTTTTGAAGTTTTTCTGATGCAATCTCATTGGCTTCTGTTAACAACCTGCTAAGCTTTAGTCCATCGCACGACGGACATCATTAGAGCGGCGTATCATCATCATAACCATATTTTTGCTAATAATTAAAGAAAACTCCCAAGTTTGGGTATGGCTGTATAGATCCGTTGGTGTCAAGCCGGTAATTTTTGAAGAATCTTTTTTGGAGGCATCCAATATTTGCCACATTATATTATTATCTTAATGCATTTTGTCAAGCATTGCTTTCCTATTTTCTCAATACCCGTCAATAATATC